TAAGCTCACGAAAGTCGGTCAATGAAAAGTTTGTGCTTTTACTTTTAGCCCTGCGTGATTGAAAACAGAGGTGAGTGAATTTTGTTTTCTTGATTAGTGTTCTTGGCATATCAGGGTATAAAAAGACTCACCGCTACGCTTTGGCCTGTGAAGCTGTTGACCGCCAAGACGATGCCACGACTGAGCGCTGCAGATCAAGAGGGAGCCTTTGGGCGTTTAAAAGCTGAGGACAAACGTTCTGACGTCGCTATCGCATTTCATGTGTCCCTTTCAACAGTTTGTAGGGTGTGGACAGGTTTTCAAACAACTGGCGGCACCCAAGACTTGGCCAGAAGCCGAAGACCACGGGTCACATCCGCACGCCAAGATCGACTGATTACGCGCCGTCATCACCGAGACAGCTTCCTGCCTGCATCCGAAACAGCAAGGTGGACAATTGGAAGCGACGGACGATCGATATCCGGCCGGACCATGTGGCGACGACTTCAGACCCGAGGACTCCGATGCTGTCGTCCTGCGGTTGGCCCAGTCCTCACTATCCGCCACAGACACCAGAGGCTAACCTGTGCCCAGCATCGGCTTCATTGGACATGGAGGCAATGGAGAAACATTCTTGTCTCTGACGAGAGTCGATTCTGCGTCAGCAACGCGGATAGAAGAGTCAGAATCTAGAGGTGGAACGGCGAACGCAACGCAGACCTCAACATGATGGAAGCCGACGCCTGGGGTGGCCCTTGTGACATGATCGGGGCTGCCATTGGATTAAATCACCAGGTCGACCCTGTCGTCTTCCGAAACCTCGGACGCAATCGTGGCAATGGAATCAACGCCCAACGTTACATGAACATGGTACTAAGGCCGGCGGTCCTCCCCTATATCCAGCAACACCACCATTAATTGGTGTTCCAGCAAGACAACGCTTGGACTGTGCCAAATGGACTATGCGTGTTGTGCATCCCGGTGTTTAGATTACTGTGACATTAATGAGTCGTTAAAAAAATACCAGTCGAAGATGTTCGTCCATGCTCAATGAAAATCACATTTTCGAACGTAAAACATAAAAAAAATCTCACAACTGTTAACAATTTCAATAAAAATAACCTTTTCTATACCAGAAATCCATTTGCGGTGTTTTTTTTTTGCTGCTTACTTGCGTTTCTTTGGGGGTAAGTATCTATCTATCTATCTATCTATCTATCTATCTATCTATCTATCTATCTATCTAT